AAAAAGTGGTCAGAGATATGCATGAAACGCGAGCAATGGATCTAACTGGTAGCGGAACATTGTTTGCATATGCTGACGACATTGTCATTCTTGGAGACTCTCAAACCGAAGTAGAAGAAAGTACAAATAAATTAATTAATTCTAGTAAAAGAATGGGCCTCAATATAAACGAGAATAAGACAAAGTATATGGTCATGAGTAGGCGACCAAGAATATTACAGAATCTCACCGTAGATGGATATACATTCGAACAAGTAGAAGATTTTAAATATTTGGGAGTCAATTTGAATAATAGGAATGATATGCATAACGAAATTAGATTGAGACTTAAAACGGCAAATCGTAGCTATTATACAATAAGTAAAAACACCCCAGAAGGGGGGGGGTGCATGGGTAAATTTATAGAACGATTAAAATATCTAACTATTGGGAATTGAAAGACTGAATTTTCAAATAATAAAGTTTAAGAATTTGCTTTTTTAAGACTTGAATTTGTGTAATATTCTCGACATCTTCATACATATCCGTCCAAACAATTTGCTTTCAAACATAATTTAAGATAATGCCCATGTTACATTGTAGTGTATTGTTTTTGGAAATTAGTGTCCAAGACTGTAATTTTTCAAGTACTTCTACAGAAACAGCCCCTTGACGTTTTCGCTCAAAAAGCTCGTAAATATCAATAAAATCGAGATGCATGTTTATAACAGTTCCTAAAAACTTGTAGACAAGACACAACTCTGAAAATTCAATTCGACGCAAGATCGCAACTACGACAACGACTACGCAAAAACTCGATAATATAGGTATTATAAGTAATCTTTAATCGTGGTATTTTATTATTATTATTATTATTATTATTATTATTATTAGCTACAAGCTTGAATTTATTATCGCTCAACATAATCATCATTACAGTAATGTGATATTGTAAATAATATAACATTAATTAAAACTGATATTAGTCAGTTAGAACCTAAAGATAATTTAATATTAAGGAGGAAATAATATTATATAGTACAAATGGATAAGATTATTATAATGTGGAAATAATAGAATGTTCTAAAAATGGGTATTGGACGATTATGGAGAGTGTCTTTGGCGACGAGTGTATTTAGAATTGAAGAAAGAAGTGTGATTAGTGGACTAATATTACCAGTGTGGCGGTACCTTACTTAACTATACAGCACACATCTGAACAAACGATGAATCGTTGGATGTTCGATGAAAGTTTATATGTTTGTCATTGTGGATTACGTGTTTCAATACGTGACAAACCAAATGCTTTTTTTGGAAAATAGTACAACACAATTTGTTGTATGCCAAAAAAATTACACTGACTCTTCAAGATGTCGATACTTTAAATACATGGCAGAAGATTACCACTTATGTGACTGTCGTACACAGGCGTTATTGCGTGTCGCCAAATCAGGTATACATATAGGTAAACCATATTATACGTGTGAAAAATCATATTCCGACCCGAATAGATGCAGATATTTTATGTTGTATCAAATTGAATATTATATTTTATGAATAAAATACATTACCTGTACATTTTGATTTTTTATTGCTTATTATTTTAATTTATATCTTCTAAACCAAAAAATATAAGTTAGTTCTGATTTCACCAAAAACTTATACAGTAAAACCTGTCTTATGCGGAATTGCACGGGACCAATAAAAATTTCCGTTTTAGGCTGGTTTCCTTATAACTGAATATAACGGAAAATTCTATACTATACAGTTACGATAAACAGCACGATTAAAGTTGTAACGTTTTCCGGTCAATAATAAAAATAAAAATATTAAAAATTAATAAATATCATAGGCTACAATAAATTTTAATTTTTAGTAAATAATTATAATAACAAGTATATTAATTAAATATTTCAAAATAATGATAAATTAAAATTTTAAAAACATTTAGTAGGTACTAATAAAATAATATATTTAATATAATAAAAAAAAGTAGGTCGGTTATAATACAATTATAAATTCCAAAACTCGTGTAATGTTTTTTGTCTGGTTTTTTCTGTAGCAATGCTTTTTTCAACTTATTTTTGCCCACGATATCGTTTCCAATAACTCACTATAACATTTATTCATTGAAAATTGTTCTAAACTCTTGATGTAAATAAGTGTTTCCTTGTATGTTTTCAATTGGTTTTCTTCATCATTTCTTTCATTGTTTCCTTCATTATCTTCATTTTCAGAATCCGATTGATTTGTTGATTGATCGTCAATTAAAACATTTATGTCGTCATTATCCGTGTATACATTATTGTCTAAATTTATAAATTCATTAATGCTATGTGAATTACCCATAGAAGTACATAACCGCTGTACGTCTTCATATTCTTCATTATCGTCTATTTCATTTTCATAAAACCCAGCCTTTGCAAAACATGATTTAATTGTTTGTGGTTTTAATTTATTGACAGCTACATTTAACCATTGAATAGCTTGTAGTACTGTTATATTTTTAGATAATTCAGATAGTACTGATATTTTATCGACATTAGCAATAAGTGATTGCATCAGAAGTCGGCGATAATACAACTTAACACAGTAAATAATACCTTGATCCATAGGCTGTGTAATCGAAGTTGTATTGGGAGGGAACCAAGCTAATTTTATGTTTGATAAATCGAGTCTTGGATGACATGCGGCATTATCCAAAAAAATAATGATATGTTTATTTTTTTTTAAAATTTTACTGTTAAATTTTATTAACCAATCTTCCATAATACTTCCAGTCATCCAAGCTTTTTTGTTAGAGTATCATGAAACTGGCAATTTTTCTACATCAATATTTTTGAAACATCGAGGCTTTGCTGCTTTTCCTATTATTAATAGTTTTTCCATTTCACCGGCCATGTTTCCACAAAGAAGAACTGTTATTTTTCTTTTGAAAGTTAACCACCTTTACATTGTTCCCCTTTTAATTTCAATGTTTTTGAAGGAATAGCGCGAAAAAATAAGCCTGTTTCATCGCAGTTATAGATTATCGCAGCTCACCTAATTTTGATTTCCATTCATTTACTTCGTCAACATTGGCATCATTAGATTCTCCACATACTTGATTCCATGAAATATTATGTCTTTTACTAAAACATTCCAACCAACCGTTGGAACCTTTAAAATCGGTGTTCCCCAATTTAATCGCGATGTCCTTGGATTTTTCCTGAAGCATTGGACCACTAATTGGAATGTTCTTAGATCTAGCTTTAACAAACCAATTCCAAACTGCTTTGTTAATTTCATCATTAACAGTCTTCTTTAAACTTCGTTTGCTTTTCCCATTTACTATTTAAAATGATGAATATGACTTAAATAAAATGTAATTAATAATTTAATTATTTCATATGAACTTACCTTTTAACCATTCTTCTCTAATTTTAATTTTGTTTTTAATTATGTTATAAATTTGCGTTTTCCCGCATTTAAAAGTATTCATTAATGAATTAACACTATTTCCTTTTTCCCTTTCTTCGATTACTTTTATTTTTTCATTTAAACTTAAACAAATTTTAGACATTGTGAGAACAAGTAGGTACGAAACGACAGGTGAACTTCGACTACACCACTACGGTGACAATAATAAGCGCTAATTTATAGAATCAAGATAAAATTTAGTTATCTATCAATACGTATTAATTGCTGACCTTAATAATTGTTTAGTAGCAAAATAAATGTGGGCATCAAAAATATTTTTGTTCATTTTATGATGTGTTTTCCGTTTGTTAAAGGTTTATATGATTTACGGAACCAAAAAATAGCTTTCCGTTTCACGTTAATCAGGTTCCGTTTTATCAAGGGTTTAATCCTATGTTAAACTATAGAAATCTGCCGGAACCATAAAAAATGTCCGCACAGAACAGGATTCCGTCTTATCAAGGGTTCGCATAAGATAGGTTTTACTGTATATGTTATTACTCATCAAATGAAAAAAACAAAGTCAAAAAAATAAATTTTAACGTTGACGCCGTTGCCCCCTTGACCGATAGACTCAAACAAGGAGTGAAATGGGTATGGACGGAGACCGAACAGAAAGCGTTTGATAATATCAAAAGTGCTTTGTACGATTCTCCCAAACTTTCCCCACCAGACTATAGCGAACCCTTCTGTCTCCAAACCGACGCCAGCGAGCTAGGAACCGGTGCTGTTCTCTTCCAAAGGGGTGACAGACATGAGGACAGACGGATCATCGCCTACACGAGCCGGAAGTTTTCGGAAACGCAGAAAAGATACGCCGCCGTAGAGCGTGAGTGTCTAGCAATAATCTGGGCAACGGACAAGTTTAGACCGTACCTCGAGGCACGACCGTTTGAGCTGTACACCGATAATGCAGCCCTAACATGGCTACACAGGGCAAAGGGCACTTCACCTATCAAATTTGTATTTCCGTACAATACACGTACCTGGAGTCCAAAACGAGGGACCCGACATGTTGTCGCGACATCCCGCCCCTGGGCCACACGTAGACGAAGACCAACTAGAGGAACGACTTGTAGGGGTACCAACCTCATCAAAACCCACCATCACTACTAGTACCCAGGTTGACCACATCTTCACAACATCCAAAACGGATGCCATACGTAGCGACGCCCCGTTCTCCATCACTACACTCGCATTGTGGCAATCCGACGACCCCCATACGCGAGACATCATTTGGTCGTTAAAATCGGAAACCCCCGCGCGTAACACCAGAAGTGCCCCGATCTTATAGACAGTTTTGTTCTAACGGATGGCCTTCTGCGAAGGAATGTAAAGGGACACACATTAGTCGTCATACCTCGATCCCGATCACAACATGTGATCTGGCGGTATCACGACCACATCATCGCAAGTCATCCGGGGTGGAAAGAGACATACGGGGAAGTCAAGGACCGTTTTTACTGGAAAGGTTAGACGTGAGGTTGTATGTGAGGTCATGTCATATATGTGCATGTACCAAACCACTAAACTCACGACCGGATGACCCTATGTCCACCCGCAAACCCAGACAACCCTGGGAGGTAGTCAGTATTGACCTAATGGGCCCCTACCTTCGTACGAGTAGGGGGAAATCCTACATTCTGGTTGTCACCGATTGTTTCAGTCGGTGGACCGAAGCATACCCGCTAGGAACGGCCACTACGAAAACCATTGTCGATACACTAGAACGTGAATTTTTCTCACGTTTCGGATACCCTCGGATCTGCCTTAGAGACAACGGCCCCCAATTCGTATCGGACGAGATGCTCAACGCGCTTAAACAATGGGGGGCACAGGGTTGGACCACTACAATTTATCACCCGAGAGCCAACCCGGTCGAACGCCGAAATCAGGACCTGAAAAAGGGACTCCGAGCAACGCTGAACGACGACAAACATAGCACCTGGGACATGAAACTAGCTCCTATCCTATTCGCGATTCGAAACCGCCACTACGTGTACACAGGATATCCCCCGCTCGGTACTGGTACTCGGAAAAGAGTGCAAAAGGCCCGGGGACTGGGCACTGGTAAACGAGGGCGCGCTGGTTAGGTTAGCTGCCACCTCGGAAAATCCACGTGTCATGCCTGAACCGCGCAAATCCATTAACGGAACCCGATAATAGACAAGATTCATTTCAGCACCAACATCATTGTCGGGAGACAACCGATGTCGGCGGAAGAGGTACAAAGGGCGACGATAGCGGCCCTAAAAGCCAACTCAAGGGTGTGGGTGGCCTACAACAGGGGGAAGGCGGACCCGGCGGACCAGGCGGAAGAAATACGCTGGTTTTTACAACCCGCACCAGCGAGTCAGTCTTTGGACGGATCTTCGGCCGACTTAAGTCCCGCAACCACGGACAGTTCCCGCCCCGACAGCCCAAACAGTGGACCCAACAATTCGGTGGGTGAGAGCGGCTCCAGGGCTGCCACTACACCCATGCCGGCTGGCCGCGAATCTACATCCGCTAACAACCGAGTGGACAGGCATGCCGTCGAAAGTGGCATACCAGAACCGGCTACCATCACCACCACCCGCGCCGCTGAAGACGAAACCGAGGCCCCTGGAACCCTGGCCATCACCGACGCCTAAGGAGTCAGCTCCAGCTCAATCAAATAAGGCCATCCGGAAGCGCCAGAGGAACGCGGAACGCAGGGCGGAGTACAGAAGCCGCAAATTGGCGGAGGCGTGGAAGAGGTCCCAAACCGAGCGAGCCGACTTCAGCCAGCAGTACCGTCTACAAAAGCCGGCACGTGGCTCGGATCGCCAGAGCACCTCGGAGAGACCCCTCGTCGGCGAGATGTCGGAGCCAACAATACCCGGGTCGGAAACGCCCGCGAGGGTAGACCGACCGGAGGTTGCGAGCAACTAATATAGTTTTATCTTGTCAAACGAAATTTACAGCACTCAAACGTCCGGTCGTTTACTCGCCATCGCCGTATACTTATCGATTGTATTTAATTAGTTGTATACCTACATATTTTACGAATTTTACGAAAAATGGATAGCTGGTTAAATTTAAAGAGGAATAATTCTACGGTTGATAATAAGGAGACACCATGTACGAAAAAAATTAAATTTACAAAATTTCGTATGTAATAATTATTTATCGATGGGTTTTACTTGTAGTTGTTCTGTAGAAGAACAAAAACCACAATGCGTGATGTGTTTTGAAGTATTATCAAACGAGGTACTAAAACCATCAAAACTAAAAAGACATCTAGAAACCAAACATAAAGAATATGTTACGAAAACCATTGATTTTTCTAAAAATAAAGAATATGAATTAAGAAAAAATATGAAATGTATTAAAAAATCTTCAATAAGTTATAGTCATGAAAATGCCGTTAAAGCTTCATTTGTCGTTTCTTTACTTATTGGCAAACCAGGGAAACCTCACACAATAGCTGAGGATTTAATATTGCCCGCTGCAAAAGCTATGGTTTCTATAATGATCGGTAAAGAAGCAGTAAATAACATAAATTTAATTTCGCTATCAAATGATACAATAAAAAAACGAATTGATAGTTTTTCAGGAAATATTAAAGAACAGTTGTTGAAAAGAATAAACGAATGTGACTATTTTAGTCTCCAATTAGACGAAAGTACTGATGTAACTAATAAATCTATATTACTGTGTTATGTAAGATACAACTACGAAAATACCATTTTCGAAGACATTTTATTTGTAACCTCTGTTATATATATAACAGCAGAAGAAATATTTACCAAAATAAATGAATTTATAATATTAAATGAAATTGAATGGACAAAATGTGTAGAAGTTAGTACAGATGGTGCTCGAGCAATGTCAGGAAAAATTTCTGGATTAATTGTACGCATTCGAAATATTATACCATCAGTTACTTGGCATCATTGCTGTATTCATCGTGAAGCTATTGTCTCTAAGAAACTACCAACAAAATTAAAAGAAGTTTTAGATAAAGCTGTACAAATTTTGAATTTTATAAAAGCCAAATCATTAAATTCAAGACTTTTTGAACAATTTTGCAAGGACATGGATAGTGAACATTATCAACTTCTATTACATTCTGAAATTCGTTGGTTATCTCGGGGTAAAGTGCTCTCTCGTTTGTTTGAGTTAAGACATGAGATTAGATTATTTTTCATCGAACATAAATTATCATTTACGTTAAGTGAACGTTTAAATGATTTTTCTTGATTGGCTAGTTTAGCGTACCTTTCAGATATATTTGCTTATTTAAATGTACTTAACTTGAGTCTTCGAGGGTCCCATGTTACAATTTTTAAAGTTGAAGATAAAATTGAAGCGATGATAAAAAAAGTTGGAACTATGGAACCTTCGTCTATCAAAGAAAAATTACGATTCATTTCAAAACCTCAATAATTTCCTTGAATTGACCAAAGGAGAATTATCCGGAGAAGTTTCCAAATACATCAAACAACATATTGAAGATCTGCAACGAAGCTTCCGCGATTATTTTCCTGTTCCAGACACAAATAGAAACTGGATTAGACACCCTTTTGAAATTGATATAACCCAAATTAATGAACTGACATAACTGGAAGAAGATAATCTTATAGAAATTTCTACAAATGGTAGTTTAAAATTACAATTTAATCAAAATTCGTTAGAAAATTTTTGATTGCACGTACAAAAAGATTATCCAGTATTATCAAGTAAAGCTGTTACGTGCCAACCGTTTGATCCGTTAATTCAGTTACAACGTCTCAGTCAACGCTTGTGTGGAAGTGTAGTCAGGAATACTTAAGACTTCCTTTTAAAATAATTAAATTTATTTAACTTATAAAAATTATTCTAACTACAAATTTTGTAAATATTCTAGTGATAGAAATTATTTAAGTCCTAACAATTAAACTTATAAAATAATTGGAAATATTTCTAAGTCCAGACCATAACATACACTGACGTGAAGGTGCTCAGTGCAGCATAGACAAGACTCGTCTGCTTTGCCCTTGTTTTCGGGTCCCTTTTATATGTGATATTGTAGGTGTGTGTGTAAAATCCCAAATGTGTGTGTGTAAATGAATAAGATAATAAAATAAGATAATTTCCTATAAATTGTGAGTGTGTGTGCGTTATCTCCAGACCGTGACATAATTATAGACGCAAATGCCCAGGATGTGGTCACCACATCATTCCGATAAACTATTTTATTTCAATTTCCCAGAAAAACGTTTATGTGAACCCTTTCACTTGTGATTTCGATATTCTAATTCCTTATTGTAATCTCTAGTGTAATAACCACGTGAACACAATAAACTAACTTATCCATAGTTGTGGTTTTTGATGTACATGGGAACCTCCTTGTGATGTTGTGATGTGTTTTACCGTGTGACTACGCGGGACGCGACAAAGCTCTGAAAGTTTTAATTCCGTTTCCCACAACTTATTTATGTGAAAATGCCTTTTCCACTTTTGTATATGTCAAAAACAGGTTTCGCAATCGTTTGAAAAACGTAGAACCCGAACTTCGATTAAAACTTTCAAATATTGAGCCTAATATAGAAAAATTAATGTCAGAAGTGCAATATCATCCTACATATTAAGTATAACTATAATAATTTTAAATTATAAGATTAATTTCAAATATCATAAGAATAAAACAATAATTAATTTTTTATGTAAGACAAAATGTTAATGCAATAATATTAAATATAACAAAAATAATAAACAAAATAGTTTTTATACTTATTATATTTTTATTTACCTTTTAAATATATTGGTAATTGTAACATGAAATATTTTTTAATAAAAAAAATGGTAATTCCTTACAAAATTAATAAGGTGGTCCGAGATTTAAAAATGTCCTTCATCAGGGGTCCGCGTAATAAAAAGTTTAAGAACCGCTGATATAAATAGTAGTTTTTATATTATTTATAATTTTATCATGTTTGTTTACTCAGTTTGGAGTCTGATAGATCCATATATTAATCTTGGGAAAAACTGGTCATTTACAATAAAATAGGATGTGGAGTGATCTATTTATAAACTCTCGATAATTATTTCTCCCGACTCCGATTATTAATAAAATAATACAAAGTACTTACTTGATGATTATACCTTAATATTATGACATTTTTAAAAATATATAACTAACGAGATATTCTTAAATATTTTAATTTTTATCATTGTGTGTTCTCAATGTTCTATAACATCTATAGTTAAAGATATTTTATTGTTGAAGTAATTATTTAGAAGAAAGAATAATATAAAGTGAAATATAGTACTTATAATAAAAGCACAACTCAACGTATCAAAGTTTTCGGTATACATTTTTTGCAGTCCATATAGAGTTGCATAAGTAATAATTAAAGTCTAAAAGTATTCTAATATTAAATGTAATTTTCAAGTTTCAACTTAACAAACCAATTAATTAATCAAAGTACTTACCTAAATTAATACTAAAAATTAAAATATTAACTAGTGATCTGTATGAACTGACTAATTAAAAAAGTTAACATCTATCACCTACCCAACAATGTGAGAAACCGGGAAATGTCATAGCCCAAAGTAACACTATGTAGTTGACTTGTTGTATCTACATATATTATGATAATATGACACATATGAATTTATCCATTTGTGCTATTACTGCCGTTACTGTCGATTGTTATTCTCATTACCCATACCTAATATATTTCTATAAATAAAATTGTTATAAATACTAGTGTCAGTAGTACTAATACTTAGTTATTGTTTATCATTATCACTTACATATTGGCACCCACCCACCCCTAAATCTTAAAAAAAAATCGAGAAGCAATCGCTTCTCAAACACAACGTTCGTTTCGTCATTAGTTGTCAAGGCGGGTCATGCACGACTCGAGCGTAGATAAACGATTTCCGATTGGCTCGGCTTGTTCCGGGCTACTATTTGGGGCGAGACGGAGCGTGGTTAATTGTTCGTACGCGACTTGGACCGTGTTGGTACCTAGCGTACGTGTCGGTAACGAGATTTGACCTATCAGGTGTCGACTCGATTTGTCGTCTGTTAGTCGTTTCCGTGGTATCATCGAGAACCTTCATTGGTTGGAGGTGGATGACACCCGGCTGCATATTACCAAACCCTAGAGTGCCCCAGCGCCTTATTCTAATACGCTGTTCTCATCGGTTGATTTAAATTGCGCGGGTAAATCATACTGTTGTTATTATCATGGCTGAGTGTAGAAATCACGAACTAATATTAATATCAATCCACCTTGATTAATATTTAATTAGTTTGTTATCATCATGGCCGAGTGTAATATATAATTTTATTTGATATATGGCGTAATTATTATACAATATAAATAATATACAGTTTGCATTTAAATTAATTTTATAAATTACAATATTATAGCACATAAATTTGACATTTATAATCATTTGCAAGAAAAAAATACAAATATTTCTATAGGTACATTCTATTATTATAAAAGACAAAAACACTATTATTGGTGAGTGAAATTAAAATATAAGTAATATTTAAATATTATGTTATTTTATTATTTAGAAAAAAATTTTCAGAAAATTAAAAAAAAAATAAAAAATTCAGAATGTCTATCAATGTGTTAAGAGGTAATTTTATAATTATTTTCTTATGTGAAATACATATAATATATAAATACATATAATAAACCTTTAATATATTATCTATACTCTTCATGTTTCATACATAATTCATTAAATTCTGGTTTGGGATATTCATTTATTAGGCTTTGTACGAGTATATAATGTATAATGTAATTTATGGTTTTATCTATTCCGTTATGTATCTAGGTATACATACTGTTCTGAATTGTTAAATGACAAATGAAGATAAGTTGAAATGACTTAATCCTAATGTAGGTATTTATATAAATAACATAATTCATCTTTAATATATTTATGTAAGATCTTATAATTAAATTAGTCACTTCCTATACCTATTTAACACTAATCATTTATTAAAAAACTGCCTAAACATTATAGATTATATATATATATACATATTTTCCAAACAATAATAATTAGATTGTAAAATCTGAACTAACTAGCCTCCATGTCCACTTTTGGAAACGATGGCAAAACGAGTATTTGCAAACTCTCCAGAGACGCAGCAAATGGATAAACCATAGTGACAAATTGGAACCCGATACTTTGGTCCTAATACGAGAACCAACACCTCCACTTCTATGGAAACTTGGACGGATTCTCCAGTTGCACCCAGGACAAGATGGGATTGTTCGAGTTGCTACCGTCCAAACCACCACCTTCACCTGAGCGGTAGTAAGACCCACCCGGGCAGACTTACGCTTCTCAGGTGAAAGAATTCCCCCCCCCCCGAACCTATCGGACGGTATTGATATCGATCAATAATGCAATAGTCAGAGTATTCCGGCATTGTACTGATCGATATCGCTGTTGCAGTCCATGGGGCAATAGTCGGAGTATTCTGGCATTGCACCGACTGTCATACCGTTCGTTAGGTTCTCTGTCCCCGTCCTGCGGTACGTTATTTTGTTTTTTGGCTGTCGCGGCCCATTGCGTTACGCGATTATGGTTATATTATTACGTCTATACCTTACAACTCGTATTCACACCGTGTTCCAGAAATATTGTTATGTCATTACGAACTAAAAATATAAAATCATATTTGTCATTGTGACATAATCATAAAACTTTGTTATTAAAACAAAATTCTTTCATCCCAAAACAGTGTTCATAAATCATAATAAATAAACGTAAATAACAACAACAAAACTGACTATAATATAATAATTATTGAGAAAATTTAGAAAATCGTGACAATAAAAAAAAATGTATAAAAATGTATAAGGAAACGTATTATTCACATAACTCTCATTACGTTACTTATAGACGTGTTAAACCTTGATCTACATTTTTAACCGATCGGGTACGATGACACTTTCGAATGGACGCTGGGTTAGCTGGAAACCGACAATGTCACCAATAACATATCTGTTATGGTCTAAAACTTTTTTATAACGTAAGGGCCTCGGAACTTAGGGATTAGCTTTTTGTTATGCCCTACTGTCACATCTACGTTGGTAACCATTACGTATTCGTTTTATTTATAAATTGGAGCTTTCAGTTTTGAATTATATTGAGTCGCACTTGCTTCCTGTGACTTATCAATACACTCGGCTGCCTTCGCCCTCACCTCCCAAGATTTACGTGACTAGTTATTATTTTTT